TGAGAACAAACATCATAAGTTTTCTAAGCCGTTCAATAATCTCGCAGATCGTGGTTTATCGGGTCTAAAACCACTCGGCTGCGCCTCGTGTTTCATACCCGATAAAACACTCCTGCTCGTTTATTAAACATTACTTATTTCAATAAAGTTAGTCACCAAAAACCTAGAAAACTGAGATCACTGAGCACCATGGGAAACTTTTCATATCAAAAAAGCATATATATACAAAGCTTTTTTAATACAAACTGCAGCTCGATGATGCTCAGAAGAGGTGAGACTGTAACCGGTAAAATATTCGCAAGTCCATGAACAGTTATCAAGCGGTTGAACGTGTAAAATGAATCTACCTATAATCCTCGTTAGCCTCAGCTTTATAGCTTTTCAGGTGACTAACTTTATTGAAATAAGTGTATCCGATCCGTGAAATAGCATAAAAACTAAATAACACCAAAAACATYTATTTCTTTTGTTTTCCATTGTTTCATTAGTGCTAATAAGCCTGAAGCGAGATGACGTTTTACCACCGACTCTATACCATAATAGTTTTTAAAATTCTTTCATATTAAAATTTTTGATTCCTTAGAGAATACAGGAACAATAGCCATAATTAAAGAACAAAAGCAATGTAAAAAGGATTATGGTCTAGAGACGGGGGTAAAACGTCATCTCGCTTCAGGCTTATTCGTACTAATTTGTTAGTACTTTTTTATGAATATGTGGTTTGCACTCTACTATATACAGTATAAGCACTAGGGAAGGGTGGGGTAAGTGAATGTCCCATAAAGGTTTGGTGTTTTGAAAGCCACTTTATAGACCCCTTGCAGCACGTCGTAATGCGACAATAGACTTCCAATTCTCAGGATATTGAAATTCTTTTGTTTTGTCCTCCAAAATTGAACTGTTATTCATTGAACTTTCACACTTACTTTAGCTATATTTACATATAGTACAGTTTACAGTTTTCATTAGACCTGATGATGTTGTCGAGATGACAGCGAAACGTTGTCTTTTACAACTAGTTTTCTTATTAAATTGTATTTTATTACCTTTATCAAAATTGAACTGCTTTGACGTCTGACATGCTAGGGGTCTATACGTTATGATTTTCCCCTACAAATGTCGCGCTTAACATGCTAACGACACGAATTGCTTCGTGTAAATCAACCGTACTGGCAACTTGCTTATGGCTTAATATCATTTTTCTATCTTCTCAGGTACCCTTGCTACTGAAGAATAGCTCTTCGGTCATTTCGTGTTTCTTTTGTAGTCTCCGGGAATCAAAGAACGAATACGGACGCCTTCCCAACTCGACCAAGGTGGTCAGTGCCGTGAATGACATACAGATTGAATTAAAAGACTTGCTCAGTAAAATCATAAAAGTTGGCGAGGCTATCAAACCAGTAAGTACGAAAATTACTAAATGTTTTTCTTCCGAATTCAAATGCAGATTAAACTCAGGGCATGGCTAACTCACAGATTGAATTGGAAATTTTAAAAAATGGAGAAAAAAGAAAAGGTAGTATGTCGTATGTTCTAATTACAGTATATCATTTTATTCTTCTAGGGAAGCAGATATACGACGAAATGTAAGACATGCCAAATCAACCTGACCAAAGGGAAGCGCAACCGAAACCAGATTGCACTTAGCCTGGCCATCGCTCTAGAAAGACTTCACGCCGCACTGAATATCATGAAGACAAACTTCTTTGCACTCAGAAGAGCTTGTCCACCTGCTCTTGTAGCAAATGGTCAAAGCGGCTAAGTTAGTCGATATACACGAACTATAGGTCTTTAAGACATCATAGTATCCAATACGATATTGGTATTATTAGGGGTATAAGTATCATTCATTAGATGAATGATCAAAATAGGTTCAAAGAGTCGAAATTTCATGACAAATGATAACTATTTAAGATTTGAAAAATGAGAATTAGGATTTTCATTGCATGCATATTTATTACATGGTTTACAAAAATATTTTTTAATTAATTGACTTTATTTGTAAAGGTCACAGTTTTCATTGCGATTTTTGCAGATAGATATGAAGTAGTTACGTCAGTAACATTTATGTATGTACATTTATTAAGTACAAAAAGTTAAATAAAATATTTAAAAATAGTCTTAGTACTGTTTATTGAAATTAACTTCCTTAATGGATTTTAAGCATGGATGTTTTTTTGCGCCGTAGCTATGTTGGATGGAAGAATAGATTTCCCCCAAGTAGCGGGTTCAATATTTTCTCGGAAATAAACATGG